GCAGCTTACCAAGTCAAGCATGTTTAGTCAATGTATCCAAATGCACCCTGAAGTATGTGACCTACAGGTTTAAGTTTACAAATTGAACAGAATAAGATGCTCAGACTTTAATAAGGAATCCTTCTATTAATTTTCATCAAATAACTAGGGTATTTGTGAGTTTGGACCCAAACAAATACAGTTCACTTCCCTCTCAAATCTGGGATTTACTTGGTCAGCATACCAGGTCTGACAGGCCCTGTGGAGAAAGCTACCAAAAAACCCAACTCTCATGATAAAAAAATTAATAAATAGAGTTCAGGGAAAGCAAGCATCTTCCTAAAAACTGTTGCTTTCTAGGAAGCCAGCATTTAGCAGTGCAAAAGCAGCAGGAACCAGAGGATAAGGCATACTGCTCAGGAACAAGATCTGGACAATCAGAGTACTAGAGGTCTCATATGTCTCAAGGCATGTATCTGTCAAGAAATCCAGATGCAGATAAAGTACCAAAGAAAACATGAATGTATTTTGTCTACTACAAGTGAATGCCTTTCTTCCTACCCATCTGTATAGCTTTTCAGCCCCTTTCCAATGTTCCTAAAGAAATATTTTGAATATAATATAAATACTTCTACAATGTAATTAGACATATTATATAACTTGCATTTTTATTAGGAGGAATTACGGATAGCATTAGCTAACTTATTTTATTGTTACAATAAAAATATTCACATGTGTATCATATTCCTCTCTCGTCTTGCATAAACCAAATATTCTAAGTCTTCTTAGAAACATTTTCATGACTGATGCATTTCTCAGGCATCACACTCACATTGCTTCTGAAACTGTTCATGTAATTTTCAGTGTTCTTCAGTTTCCATTATGTGAAAGATTTTCTCATCGGAAAAGAAAAATCTCATTAACAGCAAACAAGAGGAAGATCATTTCTTTCAGAACAGCTGGTTGCAACAAGGCTAATAAGACATATTTGCAAAAGTTGAGTAACAACTCTTTCCCAATTCTTCCTGATGTTAATAAGTTGCATGTGTTTGCCCAAAGCACTGCTGTGACTTTTAGAAAAATCCAGGCTAGCTGAAACCAGCTAGTTCTAAACAGGAAGGCACATCACTTTGATTCCTCTGTTGTGGTCCCTACTGCCCAAGACCACCCAAACAAAAGCCATGAAAGTTTGCCAGAATTCACATTTTTTTCATTTGTGTATAGTCAGGCAGCAGTTCACTATTCCTTTGCTTATTCTCAAAAACAAACCTTTTCACTTTGACTGTAACAGATGCCACTATAAACACAAAAGATTAATCATTAACTAGAAAATATATAGACTATTTTTGCCCAGTTTTAGGCAAAGCTTTCAAGAATATTCATAAATTGTATATGTTTTAAAATCTTGGTATCTGTGTCTTAAAAATATGGTTGAAATGACACTAATAAAAGCTTGGGAAATAGGAGTATTTGTCTCAAATTTCCCTCTTGCTGCCTGTGGGCTTGTGTGTCAGTGCCTTTTTTTAATTTTAAATTGCTCCCAGATTTCTTCCTTCGTGCAGACCAACACAGCTGAGGAACAAGATTAAAAATCCAATAAAGCTCCTATTAAATAGCTAGCTGAGGACAAAGCCAACAGTCAACAAGCTTATCTATGTCTGAAGCAAAGGTAGACTGGAATCAGAACATGAACAAGACAAGCATGGTTATCAGAATCAGCTGAGTCATCACCAAGAGAAAGACTGGTCAATTAAGGACTCTGTCTTTCAGAACACAAATAGGAAATTTACCTTTGTCTAAAAATTGTAATTGTATTGCTTTGTGCCTCTAGACTTCATTATCTTCCAAACTTTTTTCTGTTTCATATACTAGCCAAGTACATTTCACCAATGCATGTCAAATACTATTTAAATACTGATTCTATGTGCTTGCACTACAGCTTCAAGGGATTCAATATTGCTACCTGTAAAATTACACTTTCCTTACATGTTTCAGCAGCAGGGTCCCATTTGTGCTAGATGCCAAGAAACTGGGGTGTGAAGCTATTGCTTCACAAACAAGAATGCTCAGATAAACAGCTGTCTCTAACTGCTGGTGTCCCTGCAGCTGTCATGCACAGCATTTTACCTGGGGTTCCAGATAAAGCAGCTTGAGCTCCTGTCAGAGTCAAGAGGCCACCTTCTTTCAGATGTTTCGTGGCAAGCTGGCTGGAAATTATCGATGTCCAAACGCTCTGCTTCCACATCAGATCACAGTTTTTGTATAAAGCTGATTAGGAAGACAATTAGTGAAATTAGCCAAAGGAAGACTTTTAGCCCTGATTTCCTCACTGTTAGAGAGTGCAACAGCACTATGAAAACTTATATGGTAGAATGCTTTCTACCATTTTTTACCCCCAAATTGTAAAATATTAATTCATGTCCTCTGTATCTCCTTTCTCATTGAGACCATCCAAACCAGAAGGGAAAAGAAAGGGACACATTTTACCAGATATACTCCAGACAGAAAACAAGGCTATTTTTCTTCTTGTATCTCTACAGTAGTGGGCAAAGCATAAATTTCATTATGAAAATTACATATTTAAAACCTTTTCTTTTAATCTGAAGGTTTTTTTCTGTAGCATGATTAGGCAGTGCCTTCCAATATTGCACAGTAACAGCTTAGAGAAATGCAAGAAGCAACTGAGGTTTTATGCATAAAGCAATGACTTAGGAAACAACACCAGTGTGACTTTCATGATTTGCCTGACACAAGTAATCTCAGCAAAAGTCACCTCAAAGACAACAATGCTGATTTCCTTCAAAAAGCACAGCAAAACTCTTTGATAAAAATTAGTGCATAAACAAACATTACCAAAGGAACTAAGTGCTGTGCAAATTTAACAGAAAGCAAAAATTCAGAGAAGCACTAAGAAGCACTGTGACTAAGCTATTTTGTACTTCGATGCTTTTGTCCTCTTCTGGACTCAGGAAGACAGGTTTTTAAGGACTTCTCTCAGATATCATTCATGTTTTCACCAGCACGTCTGTACCAAAGGCTTACACTTGGCTTTGGCGCTGCCTCCAGCCCATCCTCCTGCTACACACAAGATCGCATCCACCTTTTCTTCACCAAGAAGTTTTCCAACTTCTGCTGTCACCTTCAACACATAGAACAAGAACATACTGAAAACACTTGACTGATAAGGTAAAGAGGAAAACACCATGAATGCTTTAAAGCTACTTTTTCCTACTTATGTATTTGAGTAACACAGGACACAGCAATTTAAACAGTTATAGAAAATGAATATTTACAATTCATAAGCTCAGAACAACTGTGTTGAAAAATAACTATAGATGAAAGTCAGCCAAATAAAAGCCATGGTGTGTGATGTCACTGGAAATAAGTGATCATCAGGGATGAAACACCTGACCCTTGCCTCTATTGTTAACAAAAATTATTATTGACTTGCTTTTGACAGGTTCTCTTCCAAGTATGGTGCTGTTTAAGATGGGAAATGAAACTCCAGGTCTGACCAGGACTACTGGTGCCGTTTTTGATGACAATGCAAGAAAAACAACTAAAGATTAGCCTCCTTATTGCTTCTGTCTAGACCACAACCATCAGTTTGAGTCTGGCCATTAAATTTGAGCTTGTATACTTTTAGATATCAATAATTTGTTCTCTTTCAAATATAAGACCTTACAGCCGGTAATGAATTTGCTGGCTGCAAATTTTCGCTGTCAAAGTAAATAGCAAACAATCCATCACTCAACAAGTGAAGAGAACCAATAGCTTTTGCAAAAGCATATTTAAAATTGTATTGTAAACATTCTATGCTACTCTTACAAAGTTTTAGGAATTGTGTAGATATAAAAAATCCATACTGGGAAGATATTCAGTATTTAAGTAACAGAAACTGGCTCAAAACTTAAAATGTAAAAAAATTAATCCTATCTGAGAATAAATCAAAGTATTTTTTTAGGCTGGCTTAGATTCTCCCACATTCACCTTTGTGGAAACCAGTGCATTCCCCTAGGGATCCCCTGGGGCTTAGGTTCGTATGCTTTGAGCATGACATCTACTTACACACAACACATTTGTAAGTTAGGGTATTTGAAAGAAGTGTTGCATTTTAAGATGTCCTTACCCATCTTCATTACAACTCACCTAGTTCAGTCTGTGACTTTTAAAAGTCAAGACAAAAACAAAGCAAAATTGCCGTATGTGCTGAGCCTCCAATATCCCGGATCAAGCTCTTTCTGTATATTCAGTTAAAAGGAATTACAACAAATTAAAAAGAAGCGACGAGCAGAAGCTGAAGGATCTTGTGGTACGGCCTCACGACAGCCACCGACCGCGCTCCTGCTTCCTGCACGGAGCCGGACCCATCCCTGCAGCCGCCTTGCTCACCGCGGGCGGCAGCGAAAGAGATGCACAAACACGGGGGAAGCTGCGTGCCTCGCTCGGCCGAAGGGATGCGCACACCCGGGGGAAGCTGCGTGCATCGCTCGGCCGAAGGGATGCGCACACCCGAGGAAGGGTGGCTGTGCACCCTCCACCCCCTCAGCCGGCATTAGCCGCTCTGCGCCCGCCACTGACCCACCTGCTCGGCCTGCTCGGGGAAGGAGTCGGTCGCTCTCACCACCACGTTGGCGCTGGCGTCCGCGTTCTCCGCCAGGTCGATGCTGGCCACCCACTGCCACGGCGAGGGGAACGGCGCGTTAGCGACCCGCGCCCCACAGCGCCCGGCCCGGCGCTTACCCAGTTCTTGGACTTGAAGTACCGCACGCACTGGGAGCCCAGCGCCCCTCTGCCCCCGTACACCAGCACCCTGC